CTACCTCTCTCTCTTTTTCTTATCTCTATCTGTATATTCATCTCTCTGCCTCTCTCTCCTCTCTCTCTCTCTCTCTCCTCTCTCTCTCTCTCTCTCTCTCTCTCTCTCTCTCTCTCTCTCTCTCTCTCTCTCTCTCTCTATATATATATATATATATATATATATATATATATATATATCTTTCCCTCTTCTATCTCTCTTCTCGTGTGTGTAAGTACGTAGGCCTACATCTTCCCTTCTCCATTTAATTTTCCTCCCATTATCACCTCTCTTCTTTTCCTCTTCTCTAAAATTCCACAGCTAGATTGTACCGAATTAATTGTCAAATCCAAACCGTTAACGAAAATGGTAAATTTGAAACTTTTGTCGCCGGAATTAGTTTTACGTAATTGTCTCTTTTTAGTGAATTTTTGCGTGATTCATTTCCGGGGAAAGTCGCTGAAAATCATTAGTTTTATTTTATGTTTCGTAGTACAATGTTGTTTTTTGCTGTTTTGTTTGTTTGTATTTTTCGGTTTTATCTTTATTTTGCACTTGGAAAAAAATGCGTTGTTTTTTAAGGAATCAGGCAATGGAGTAATTTAGTATTATTTATGCTTTTTGATAGTGATTCTTGTTATGACTCTAATTTTCACTTCCAAGGTTTAGTCTATTACTGAAGTTTAATTTTGATCTAAAGGTTTATTCCAAATTTGTTGAAGTATTACTATCGGCGATATTTTCCCATTTTCTTTCGTTCCTATCTTGATGTTCGTTTTCTTTTAGTCGTATCCGTTTTCTAAAAAAAAAGATACGGGCTAACTTATCTATATCTTGCTACATCTGTTGGTAATGAATATTCTTCACTGCATTGTACTAATTTCATCTCTTATCTCTACGATGTATCATAATCTTTGAATGTTAAAATAATGGTGCCTGTATTGTTTACTTTTTCCCTCTCTCTGTCTCCGGCGAATAAATCACAGACTGCATTTTTTTCAAATTCAATTATCTTTATTCGCTCTCTACTTTCGTTTTCGTCTTTGCCATAGCTAGTATTTTTTTCCTTTTCTTTTCTTTGTCCCATCTCTTGTTCCAAATGTATTTACTTATTACATCTCTGTTTTTGTTTTCCGTCTTCCATATTCTTTACCTTTTCTTTATGTGTTTCCTTCTACTCAGCTTTTAGACAAAAAACATCGTCTTGGTGTTTGTTCTAATGTTGCAACTATCCCTTTTTGGATTGCATTGTTCCATTTGTTCCATCTACGACTATCAATGCCTCTATTTCATCCCTGGAAATGTTCACTCGACAGCTCTCTCGTTTCCAACTGTTCATTCTTATTCGTTTGTTCTGTCCATTTCATTCTTGTATTTTCTTGCATTATCATTATTATCATTAGTAGAAGTGGTACTCGTACTTGTTATTGTTGTTGTTGTCATATTATTATCATTATCATCATCATCTTCATCTTCATCATCATCTCCTTTATCATCATCACTGTCATTCTCATCATCGTCATCATCATCATCGTCGTCATCATCATCACCATCCTCCTCCTCCTCCTCCTCCTCATCATCATTATCATTGTTATCATCATCATAATCAGTTATTATTATTATTATTGTTATTGTTATCATTATCATTATTATCACTATCATTATTATTATTATCATTATTATTATCATTATTTTTTATTATTATTATTATTATTATTATTATTTATTATTATTATTATTATTATTATTATTATTATTATTATTATTATTATTATAACCATTACCATTATCATTATTATCATCATCACCATCATTACTGTCATCACTGTTATCATTATTACCATAATGATTATCATTATCATCATTATCATTATCACCAACATCTCTATCAAATTTGTTCATATCATATGTTCATATTATCATCATCAACATCATCATTATTATCATTACCATGATTATAGTTGTTATCATTATTATTGCTAATATTGTTATTGTTATAATTTTTATGATTATCATTATTATTAGTCTGCTACTATCATCACTATCATTACTATTATCATTTTATTTAATATTGTTACTATTATTACTATTACCATCTCATATTATCGTTGTCATTATTATCATTATTGTAATTATCATTATTTCAATTATCATCATCATCGTTATTTTTGTGATTTTTGCTATTATCATTATTGTTATTATCATCATCATTATCATTATCACCATTATTAAACCCACCTGCAAAAGCGGGATTTATCATTAATATTATTCTTATTATCATATTTGCTATCATTATTATTGCTGTTATTACTATTATTGTTATAATTATTATTGGTTATACTATTATTGTTATAATTATTATTGGTGTTGTTATTACTGTTATCATTATCATTACTACTGTTATTATTGATATTATCACCTTTATCATAATCATCATCCTAATCATATTTATTGTTTCTGTTGCTGTTGTTGTAACCGTTCAAAATAATAAAAAATCAGGTGCCAGAGAGGAAGAGAGAGAAAAGAGGAAAGGGGAAAAGGGAGTGGGAGAGGGAGAGGAAAAGAGAGAGGAAGAGGAAAAAGAGGAGAGGAAGAGGAAAGAAGAGAATAAGAGGAAAAAGAGAGAGGGAGAGAAGAAGAGAAGAGAGGAAGAGGAAAGAGAGAGAGGAAAGAGAAGAAGAGAGAGGTGAGGGGAGAGGGTGAAGAGAGGAGAGGAGGGAGAGGGAGAGGGAGAGGGAGAGGGAGAGGGAGAGGGAGAGGAGAGGAGAGAGGAGAGAGAGAGAGAGAGAGGAGAGAGAGAGAGAGAGAGAGAGAGAGAGAGGAGAGAGAGAGAGAGGAAGATGAGGAGAGAGGAAGAGGAGAGAGAGAGAGAGAGAGGGAGAGGAAGGAGAGAGAAGAGGGAATGAAGAGGAGAGAAGGAGAGAGAGAGAGAGAGGAGAGACAGAGAGAGAGAGAGAGAGAGAGAGAGAGAGAGAGAGAGAGAGAGAGAGAGAGAGAGAGAGAGAGAGAGAAGAGAAGAGAGAGAGAGAGGAGAGAGAGAGAGAGAGAGAGAGAGAAAGAGAGAGAGAGAGAAAAGGGGGCGAGGGAGAGGAATGGAAAAATAGAGAGAAAGAGAGAGACAGAGATAGAGATAGATAGATTAATAGATAGAGAGAGAGAGAGAGTAAAGGAAAGAAAGGCATGGAGAGGAAAAAAGGATAAAAAATGTTGGCAATAAAGATAACATCAAACCGAAGACCTATCTCTATAATCATGATTCTTTTCATCATCATTATCACTATTGTTGCCATTACCACTATCATTATTGTTATAGATATTATTATTACTATTATTAAAATTGTTATTATTATTACTATTATTAAAATTTTATTGTTGACATTATTATCTCCATTATTACTATAATCATTATATTACTATGATCATTGTTATCATTAATATTTCTATTATCTCCATCACTATTATCATTAATATATAATTACCATTTTGATATCGTTATCATTATCTTAATTGAAGATTATCATTAGTTTTAACATTATTATTTTTATTATCATTATCTATATCATCATTATTATTAATGTTGTTACTAGAATTATTAGTATCACTATTATCATCATAATCATCTGAATTAATATTGCTATTAATATCATCATTGCTACTATTATCGTTACTATCATTAACTGTAATTACTATCTTCATAATCATTTTTATTTTTATCATCATTATCATTAAACATATCATCACTTTTTTCCTCAAAATAATAATCATCATCACTCATTATTATTATCATAACAATCATTATTTTGGTGTTAATTTTCTTAGCTTCCTTCATTTCATTTTTTTTTTAATGTTCAATAAGGGTTAAAAATCCACAAGAAAACCAGGAATTACAACCAAATAAAACAAACAAATCAAAATGTCATATTATTCAAAAGGATCGTACAAAGAACACGAAAGAAAAAAAAACAACAACACTTAAATTGAAAAAAAAAGAAAAAAAAATTATACTAACATGCATGCACTCACTTATTTAACATATGGCAGCAACCGGGGGGAGAAAATCCAAAAATTGAAAGAAATAATTACATCCTTTTTCTCCCCCCAAAGTTGCGTATCAAAAGAGGAGATTTCTTAATCCTAGAGAAATATCACAGTTGTAATATAATGAAGAGTGGAATGAAGAAAAGTGAATAAAGAGTGGAATGAAGAAAAGTGAATAAAGTCTTAGGGAAATGATTACTTTTCTTCGCTTTTCTTTTGGCAGGAGTAGGGGCTTGGGTTTTAAATTACAATTTTCGTTCCAGACTTGGGGCGCCTGTCAGTCACAGTTAAACTGTTTGTGTGTGTGTGTGTGTGTGTGTGTGTGTGTGTGTGTGTGTGTGTGTGTGTGTGTGTGTGTGTGTGTGTGTGTGTGTGTGTGTGTGTGTGTGTGTGTGTGTGTGTGTGTGTGTGTGTGTGTGTGTGTGTGTGTGTGTGTGTGTGTGTGTGTGTGAACAGAGACTGGTGTCTTTTATGGATTTCAAATTTTCTTCTTCATATTCCTTTTACGTTTTGTGTGTGTGCATTTGTATCTATATACGTGTGACTGCTTTTGTGTGTGTGTGTCTGTATGTGTATGTGCGCATGCGAATAATCTGTTTTATCGTTAATGATAACTAGATGTGATCCTTTGTGTGTGTTGTGTTGTGGGTGTCTGTGTGGTTGTGTTGTGTTGTGTGTGTCCTGTGTTGTTGTGTGTGTGTTGTGTGGTGTGTGTTGTGTGTGTGGTTCTTTTCTGTGTGTGTGTGTGTGTGTGTGTGTGTGTTGTGTGTGTGTGTGTGTGTGAAAACGCATGCTGCGTCTGCAATTACGGTAAACGAGTCTAATGATAAACACCGAATAGATGAAACGTCACGATCAAAAATTAGAATTAAGGGAGATAAAAGAAAAAGGAAAATACTTTCAAAATGATACAGTGTCTGCCTTCCTTCTTCCTAGGAGGTGTCCCTGTCGTCTCACTCTCTCTCTCTCTCATCCTTTCCTCATCTTTTCCTCGTCGCTTTCTTGATATTTCCGTCTTATCCTTTGTTTTCCGTCTCAAGAAAGCGAGGAAAGATGATAGGCCTACCTGCGTCTCATAACATTAAAATCAATCCTTTCGGTGATAGTTAAAAAAAAAAGTCTGAGCAAAAGAGACTCTGAGAGAGCAATCGACTCCTCTCTTCTTTCCGCCATCATTGAAGAATCCATTAGTTTACACATACATATATAAAAATGGGAGTGTATATCAATATATAAAAATGGAGATTGGAAGAGCGGTCGACGGCGACGGAGAGCCAAGCGCCGTCGATGCTAATGCCTGGGAACGCGTGTCACGGGCCTTGAGGGAGACGCCGCACTGCACACCATTTTCATTTTCCTTTTTTCCTGTAAATCACTTCACGCTGACTCTAGCACCTCTGGTTCAGTCACTTGTAATAAATAAACGTTATTAAAAAACTACGGTGATAACAGTTGAACACTAACAGCCTTAAAAAAGAAGAAAAAATAGTATTGGAATTGACACAGAATTCAGCTAAGGCACTTTTTGTTCTCGTCCATGTAACCACTGGTTTGTTCTTTCTCTTCACCTTTTCAACCGAGTTTGTACGTCTTCTGTGCGTCTCGGGCGAGGGGTCCGGGGCGCCCCTTCGCCGTCCGCCCGGCGCCAGGGTCGTGCCAGCGACGACATTTGTCAAGACGAGGCGCGACATACGTCGTCGTCGTCCTCGGTCGTACGAGAGCCTCCAGGGCACCGATGCGCCGCCGGAGTTGCGCGGCGCCCTCAGGGCTTGCGAGGGACCCTAAGCGCCGCGTGAGGCGTTCGAGGACGTCGCGTCGCCCGGGCGGTGAAGCGTCCGTTTTATGGTCATGGTGACCGTTTAGAAACTCTTTTCAAGAGCTTTGTTCGACGCGCCGACGAGGGGAGTCCCCGCCGGCGCCGGCCCACTCGCGCGAAGCCTTAGCTCGATCGTTCCCTGGCTTCGGATTCTCCAAGTTGAAGCCTCTTCGCGGCCTTGAAGGAGCCTGTTTCGGTGGGGCTGTTCATGGGCGTCTCAGGGTCGTGGGTTCGAAGAGTCCTAGGCCAGAAGCGAAGACCAACCTCGGGCAGCACCTCGTCCTATGGCAGCTTTAAGAATTAGGAATCTCGAGTGTAGCTCTACGACTACGCGACTGACTATTCAATTAAGATGCTGGTGTTTTTCTTGAGCAGCGGCGTCCGCTGGTCGGGATGCTGCGGGTTCCGGGACATCATCTCCGGGTTGGTGAGCAGCTGGTGGAGGTAGTCGGGGTTGATGGGCGGGTCCTGCGGCACGTTGGGGCGGCGGTTCCTGAGCGTGTCGGGCTGCTTGTTGGGCGGCACCTTGTCCTTGGCGTCGGGCGCCGCCGTGGCCGGGTTGCCCACCACCTGCTTGTTGAACAGGTTGGGGTCCGACAGCCGCGTCATGAGCTCGTAGAAGCGGGCGTGGCTGAGGTGGCCCTTGATCCTGTACAGCAAGTAGATGTCCCCGATCTTGCAGTTCTTGCAGACCTTGGATACCATTGCACGGACGTTGTCGTTGGCGTGCGCGGGCTTGGCCGTGCGCAGCAGGTACACGCTCATGCACGGCAGCCACATGGCGAACAGGAAGATGATGTAGCAGCAGGTGATGAATGCCAGGACGATGAGCCACAGCCACAGCCCGAGGAAGAGCTTCTCGTAGAGTTCCATGATGGTGAGGTGGCAACCGAAAACCTCCGTCCGCTTGTTCACCAGCTGGTTCTCGGTGGAGAGCTCGCACAGCGCGAACGGCGGGAACGTCTGGGACATGTAGTCGGTGAAGCGCTGCGGGTCCCTGTCGAACGGATAGGCCCTGAAACCGTACTGGATGAAGCGGCCCTGCAGGATGAAGTCCAGGTACTGCATGGCGAACACGTCGACCACGAGCGCCAGCAGGTTCACCGAGAAGAACTTCCAGTAGAGGCCGTTGTGTGTCTTGAGGTTGAACAGGATGTAGCGGGCGGCCCGCTCGACCAACTCGCGCTCCGCCTGGTCGTAGCGGTGGGCGTTGGCGGCGAGGTCCTCGAGCAGCTTCTTGCAGCGGGCGTTATCGAAGCTCTTGGAGACCTTCCGCGGGATGTAGTAGACGCCGGCGAGCACCAGCAGCGACCACGAGATCCACCGGTAGAAGAGCAAGTAGCGCCTCGCCCCCTCCTCCTCCTGCACGTAGGGGTACGAGAGGCAGATGTTGATGTAGTCGAGTCGGACTTGCGTTTCGGCGTTGAAGTGTGACACGCAGGTTATGACATCGCGGTAATACCTGCGGAGAGGGAAGCAGTTGTAAAATGTGTCTTACTTGATCACCTCTAAAGCTACTGAGATTCTGGTGACATGTCTGTACTGGTCACCTTACAAACGCAACGAATAAAAAAATGACACGACCTTTTCCTCAGATAAAACCAAGTGAACAAATCATAATCGAAGCAAACCATGTCTCCATGAATCGATATCAGAATACAAGAAGAAGAAACCGAAGCGCAGACACTCAGAGGAAGAGCTCCTCCTACTCACCACGAGTACCAGACGGTGAGAAACCCTCCGAGCATGATGCAGAAGGTCCACCTGTAGTGCATTCTGAGGACGAGGCCATCGCAAGTGGCGGCGCAGATCTGGTTGGCCCTGCTCTTGACCACATTCAGAATGCTCCCCAAGATGGACCGCAGGTCGACGCTACCCGTGCCAATGGACGGCATTCTTGCTCCTGCAGAAGGGGAGAACGAGGTTAGAATGGAGTGTTTGGAATGGATCGTTCAGAATGGAAATTTTGGAAATGGGATGTTCAGAATATTTTTGGAGTGGATCGTTCAGAATGGAGATTTTGGGATTAAACCTTCTGGAATAGAACTTATCTTTTGCGGTGATACTAAATCTATACAATAAATCATAAGCATATAGTTAACAAAGTTGCCATTAATAACAAGTTCAACATTCGTTTTATGAAAGTGGTAACGCAAATAAAATGAGAAGAGCGATACACCTACACAGAACCGAAACACAACCCGCTTTCAAACCAACCAAGAAATAATCAATGCAGTCGAATAAAGGCTGCGCGAATATTCACTCTCGCAGTCTACAGTACACCCGATCTTTCACTTTCTTCTTCCAGAGCTCTCTCTCTTCTCTATATCTCCGTCCCTCTCCCTTATCTACGCTTCTCTCCGGAGTTACGAACGCTATCTGGCGAGGAGAAGAACCCAAGCCACCCTTAAATACAAACGTGCCTTCGACGAACGCGAACGAGACCGGGTTACATTCCGTTCGTGTAGTGTGAATCCAGGGCGGCGGGAAACAAAACGTCGATAGTCGTTTTTCTAAGCATATCCGGATTGATACGCGTGCAGGATACGAATATCACGGCGGAGGGGGGGGGGAGAATAGTTTACCCGAGAGATAGCTATTGCTAAGATACGCGAAATCTTCCGTTGACATCAAAATCATTTACGAGGATTGCGTTTGATAGTGTCAGTGCCAATTTGGATGACCATAAAAACGCTATTTTTTATGGCGAAGATGAATATGACTTTAGCGAAAGGTACAAGGTATAATATGACAAATATCGCAAGAAATGGCGGGATGACGCATAAAAGGTAATGCATGTCTCAAACGTAATCTGCATCTGAGTTCTATACGTAACGGATATTTGTCTTGTTAGTTTAATCTTATCACTACAAGAGTTGGCTGGAAATTCTCTCTCTCTCTCTCCTCTCTCTCTCTCTCTCTCTCTCTCTCTCTCTCTCTCTACTCCTCTCCCTCCCTCCTCTCTTTTCTCCTCCCCCCCTCTCCCATCCCCTCTTTCTCGCTATCTCACTCTCTATCTGTCTTTCCGTTTAGCGTGGGCTGGTTTTCAATGCCGTATTTCGAACTTTCAGTGTAACTCCAGAAGTTCCAAGGTAATAGCCTGTGTAATTATATTTTCAAGTAGTGCCACATTTCAAAACTTCACGGCCAGTCTGAGGATAATTATCTGATCATTATTAACTTAACATTAACACCATTGTGCGTAGTAGTCGCATAAATTGTGGTATAGTGTAATAGTATTTTTACTATTTACTATTTTACTATTAGTATTTTTACTATTGCTAGAATTGCTAGTACTGTTATATTAATACTGTTGACGTCATTCTTATCCTTCTTGTTCTTAGTGTTAACTTTATTGCTATTAATGTAATCATTATTAGCATTACTGTTATCATTTTTTAATTTGAAAAATGATAACAACAATAATGATGATAATACTAATAATAAGAATAAGAGTAATAATAACAATAAACGTAATGATAATTATAACAATGATAATTATAACAATGATAATCATAACAATAATAATAATAACGATAATAATGATAATAATAATAATAATGGCAATTAACAATAATAATAATAAAAACGATGATGATAATAATATCATTAATACCAATAACAATATATAATAATGATAACAGTAACTTTGATAAGAAAATTGATAATGAAAATAAACTAGTGATAATAATAATAATAATAATAATAATATTAATATATAATAATAATAATACTGATAATAATAATAACAAACAATAATAATAATAATAATATAATAATTAATAATAATAATAATAATAATAATAATAATAATAATAATAATAATAATAATAATATAATAATAATAATATAATAATAATATAATAATAATAATAATAGTAATAATAATAATAATAATAATAATCCACACTAACAACAATAATAATATAACCATTTTCATCATAATTGTTGTTATCATCATTTTTATTATTATGATCACAATTACTATTACTATTATCATCATCACAATTACTATTACTATTATCATCATCACAATTACTATTACTATTATCATCATCACAATGACTACTTGCACCATCACTACAATCTATACTATAAGCATTATCAATCTTATAATATTGAACAAGAAATATGAAAACGGATCTGCCAAAAAATGCAAAAAAAACAACAACAAAATAATTGCAAAACTGCCCAAAAAATTCGCAAAAAAAAATACCAGCGCTTTTTTTAAAAAATGCAACAAAATCCACACGAATCGTCCTGGCACCAGCGAACCCTTTAGGAAAACACAACTCCAGCCTTGAACACTTTTTTCTGACAACACGGTGCCACGGCCTGCAGGGAAGCACGCGCACACCTGTGTTGTAACGTGGAAAACACCTGTTTGTCTGTCTCTCTGTCTG